CTTCCTTGTGGTGACCAGCAGACACTGCTGGTTGCTGGCACAGAAAACAGAAAGTATGTGTCGACTGATATGGTTAAATACTCCAGTTCCCTCTGGGGCAGAGACTGGTTTCATTTGCAGTCATGGCTCCTGTGTTAATTTCTCTCAATGGTGTCTACAACCTTAAAACAACTTGTGGGTGTCGGTGGGGTGTGTGGGTATGTTCTGCCATTTGTTGATGTGGTACTACTTATTGCTGAATGTATATCTCTGGTAGACATAAGCCAAAGAGCTAGAGGGCTTTTTGTAAGTTGTACTATATTCTCCATGAGTTGCTATAAGAGAGAGGGCCATCTATGGCTCTGCGCTCTACAGCGTGACCTTAGGCAGGTCATTCCAGCTCTCTCTGGCTATCAGCTTCTCTATCTCTACCCTCTGAGTGTTGTTACGGGGGGAACTTGGCTATATAGGAGCCAAGCCCAGAGCCTGGAATATGGAAAGAATTCAGTATTAGTTACTGTTGTTGGTGAGCATTTCCTACTTCCCAAACCCACAGGACTTCGAAATCGGAAAAGAGACATCAGGTCAGTCCCCATAACAACTGCAGATGGTCAAAATTCCAACATCTCTTCTGGTCCCAAACATTTTGAACGAGGGATGCTCACATTGTAGTGTTTAGCTGTTCTAAATCTTGACTAAGTAATAAAGTTAATAAGCTAGAGGAACAGAAGCTGTGTAGCTCCTGGGGAAGGAGAATCTTCGGTGGCCATCTCCTTTAGTGTTATTTTGGCCTTTAGTGACTCCTGAAGAATCCTGTAGGATTCGGAAAGTGAACTCAGAGACCATACAGGATCCTTATGGCCAAGTGTAACACGCTTGATGTCATGGTGCAGCTAGAAGAAGGCCTAGCCCTGGTAAATAATAGCTATTGTAGTCATTTCAGTGTATTTCCTTTGAGTGCTTTTCTATACTTAAGAAAAGTGAGTTCCGAGGTTGTAGAGGTTTACAACGAAACATTTAGTTCTTTTAAGGTCAGTGTTAGAGAGTGTATCAGTCAGTTATGACCACAGTAATGCTGTATAACAAATTACCCCAAACTCAGTATACAAAAAGAGCAAACATGTATTTTCTCTATGCTTTCTATTGGTTGGAAGTGAGTCAGGGGGACTATAGATTGGGCTTAGTCTAAGCTGCAGGTTGGTTCCACGTTTCTCTGCACATAGTTCTCCTCTTCTTTGCACCAGAAGCCACCTGAGTCTTATTCTTCTTGAGGTGGAAAAACCACAGAAGGTCATGTTCAGTCATATCTTTCACTTCTGCATTTGATATGTTCTGAGAAACTCCTAGTGGATCAATTGAAGTAACCAAGGCCAAGCAGAACCTCAAAGTCCCAGGCCCCCGGAGAGTGTGGGTCTAAGGAGTGATAAGGAATGAGGGTCACAGATTCAGATTCCTCGGTTGGTACTCCATTTGCCTTCTCCAAGTCGTCATTGCAAACAGTGCCCTGAGAACTCTCCCTAGCATAGGAGGTTCTGTGGTCCTGGCATCCTCATTACAATTCCAGAAGCACTCCACTGGAGTGGGCGAGCACGTTGCAAATTCCGCTTTGGTCCCTTGAAGCCTTCTCTCTGACAGACAGGAATTTACTCTACTGTAAACCTAAGAGTCCCAATTTAGACAGACAGGATGGATTAGGCAGACGGCATCATTGACCCAGTTCCACTTCGTTAGCCTTTCCAATTAAGGAGATTGTTACTGTGAGTGAGACCTCACAGATACGCAGTCATACCTTGAGTCCTCAGGACCTAGCCGGTTAGGGAGAGTCTCACATTTCCAGTGTGCACCCAGGGAGGAGAAGGAAGTGTAGTTGGCATGAGAGCAGCTGAGTGTTAATGACACAGGCCCCTTGTGAGGGCTTCATCCTCTTCCTGACCAGTTAATTAAGATGCTAAATAAGGACCCTTTGTACTCCCTCTCCCAGAAGCTTTTGAAATAAACCATGGACTCTGACTGTGTGTGACAGGGTCTGTGATTTTGGAACTCGACATAAAGAGTAGATGCTGTGCTGTGTCAAAGGACCAGTCTCTTGGTATCATCCTCATAGCTGGCAGAGATTTTCCATAGCTTTCCAAGGAAGGTCTTTCCCAGTGAAGTTGTTCTTAGGGGTTCACAACCCCCCCCCCTTTGCTGTCTTGGGATTCTGAGCAATGAAGCATAAGCCCCACACAATAGCCAAATGGGCCATGAAGCACAACTTAATTAATCTGGGCATGCACCCAATGCCCCGTGCAGCCCTCGCTAGGATTTGGCTTTGGAGAAGGTGGCTAATTTTGAGACTGAGCCACGGGTTCTTCTGTTCTGACTCATATCTAGATGAATACAGACGGAGGGACAGTTAGCAGAGGTAAACAGGCTCAGGCTGATGGTGATGTGAAGACCAGGGGCTGTGCAGGACAAACAGAGTCTGCTGCCAGTCACAGATGGAGAGGATGGATCCATCTCTGGAAGAGTAAACTGGGGCCTGCCCTGTGTGGTCACTCAATAGGGAGCCGGGCTTGGCTCTCCAGCACTGTGCTTCCTCGGTCATACAAATGATGAGCGTACAGCTAGAAGGTAAGGACAGGTGGGCTAGTGAGCCTGTGTGCCCCACTCTAAGTAGCTCAGCAAACACTGAGTTCTGGTGGATCATAGTTGAATGTTATCCCGGGAAAAGGGCAGGAGAGGTTGTGGAGGGAAGGCCTGAATTGTTTCTCCAAGGAACTTGTCAGTTCCTTGTGGATCCAGTGTGGTAGAGCGAAGGAAAAACTTCCCATAGTGTTTCCCTGAGTGCAAGGACTCTCTGTGCTCAGAAAGCATGAAAGTCAGCTCGAGTGAGGGGTCTCCGTGGCAACGGCCCTGGAGCTGTGCCAGGGAAGTGCTGGGACTTGGACTCAAAACTGGAATTGGGGGAAGACGAATTTTCTTCACCTTCAAGCAAAGTCCAGAGGTCAGAATGAATTTGAGACCATGCCTCAAATGTGCCACGAGGAAGATAGTGTCAGATGGGGATCAAGGCAAGGGGAGTGGCCTGGTAGTGTGTTCCTGTAGTCCTGACACTCAGGAGGCAGAAGTGTGAGGATGGTCGTAGGTTTGAGTTTAGCCTGGGCTGTATAGCAAGTACCAGGCCAGCTTGGGCTACACAGAAAGGCCTTGTCTCAGACAGTAATAAAATAATATTTAAAAATGTTTAACGGAAACAAGGCCCGATTATGTAGGCCTGCAAGATCAACAATTTGGGAAACCAAGGCAAGGGGATTACAGGTTAAAGGCCAGCCTCAGACACAGTGCGTTCCAGCAGACCAGCCCAAGCAATTTACTAAGACCATACCTCAAAATACAAATTAAAGAGATTAAAGTGAGGGGCCAGTGGAGCGCTTGTCTAGCATACATGCAGCCTAATATTCAATCCCTTCTCTCCCTCTCTCACTCTCATTGTCTGTTTCTTGTTGTCTCCTTCCCCTCCCCCCTCCCTCACACACACACACACACACACACACAGAGGAGTTTAGAACGTTGCAGTTTTTCTTCACTCTCCTTTATTTAAGGGACTTGAAGAAGGCTAGCCTGGTGCTAATTTAATTTGCATGGCTTCCTAGAAACCTGTATTGGAAAAATCTGCTTTGAGAGAGCCAAGTTTCAAACTGGATTTCTACACATGGCCTTACAAGCATGGCCGTTCTGTGTAGAGGCTGCTAAATGTGCTTTTCCCAGAATCATGAACACATATGATGGTTAAGTTCCGACCAGACATGGTGTAGACAAAAATAGCCTTTATGTGCTGGGTTTCCTGTTTTCCTTGGAAACCACTCAAGGAAGGAATGCCATCACCTCCGATTAGTCCTTGCCCCCTCCATCTGCCCCTTCTCTGTTCCTCCCCCACCCCAGAATTCATGCTTAGTGACCCCAGACTTTACCACCCAGCATCCCCAGTCAATTGGCTTTTGTCAAAAGTGAGTGAATAGGATGTTTCTCTGGCCTGAAAAGATCTTTCCTGGCCTGCTGGGATGTGTGGCTCACACAGGAATTGGCTCCTCCTTTCCTCTCGCTTTCTTATGTCTTCCAGTCTTGGAAGATTAGACGTAATCACACAACCTTGCTATGAACCAGAACTTAAGTCTAATTCTCTTATACATCCAAGCCTCTTTCATATGGGGGTTTGAACACACTGAAGATGTGTTGAAAAGGTGCTTTTTCTTCTTTTTCCTGTGTGTGTATGAGTATGCATGTTAGTACAGGTTCTTATGGGTACCGTGTGGCTACACGTGTGTGTGTGTGTGTGTGTGTGTGTGTGTGTGTGTGTGTGTGTGTGGTGTATATGTATGCATGTTAGTACAGGTTCTTATGGGTACCTTGTAGCTACACATGTGTGTGTGTGTGTGTGTGTGTGGTGTGTGTGTGTGTGTGTATGTACAAATGTGTGGTGTTCAGGTATCATTACTCAGGAGACAAATTGGTGGGGTTTTGTTGTTGTTGTTTTTATTTTGGTTTTGGTTTGGTTTGGGAGTATTTGTTTGCTTGCTTGCTTGCTTTGTTGTTTTGACAAGATCTGTCACTGGCCTGGAGCTCACCAAGTAGGTTAGGTTGACTAGCAGTGACCTTCAGGGATCTGCCTGTCACTGTGTCCCCAGCGCTAAGATGTTGAGTGTGTGTCCCTTCCTAGCTTTTTATGCCAGTCCTCTAAGTCAGGTCCTTGTGCATTTTTATCTGAGCCACCTCTCACTCCTCCTCCCTCTTGGCACCTCCTTGTTTGGCACAGTGATCTCCTTATGGACAACCTTGGGCCACTTTCATCCTTAAATATGGAAAGGAGTGCTGGGTTTCAGCAGGGGGCAGACTGGGTCAAGGTCTGGCATCCTCAGAGAACTGAGAAGACAGAGTCTGACTGGCTCCACCCGACTGGGGATATCAGACTGGTTTTGAAGCGATGTTCAGTTTGGACGTTGACTCACCACTTAAGAGGATTTTCTCTTTTCTCCCCACAGGATCCACACCCGAGTCCACTGATCACCCTAGAGACCCAGGTGAGTGCCTCCTGTAACCATTGCCACTTATCTTTACCTTGAGTTTCTGTGACAGCTCATCTTCACAGGGGCAGAAAATCCGTGAAGAAAATGTACATTATCTCAATAAAGAGCTAATTATTCTTCCTATCACTTTAGGGTGACTTAAGGTGACTTGCCTTTCTGAAGGGTGGTCCCTTGGCCAAGTAATTGGCCACCCCAACTGGATTAACTCTCAAGGGAGCAGACAGTGGCAATTCTCCACTCAGAGATAGACTCCAGTCTTGACTGACAGGCAACAGCTTTCCCATAGTGGGCCTTCAATGATACTGTAACAAGACCCAGCTCCCAGGGCAGAAAATTGTACTATCTGCTTGGGTACTGGAACATTTTGAACAATATAGATAGCAGTGTAGTTTCTGTGTGGGGCAGATGGTGGAAGAATGTGGCCTGGCTCTCTGTCTTCTCTGTGGGTGCCTGCCTCAGAGTCACTGAGACATAGGTAGAGTTCTGAGTCTTCTGGCTTGTGGTGTTGGTGGGGGAGAGGGGGCTATCTTACCTCCAAGTTATTCCTATTCCATTTTAAACATGCCTCCTGACAGTCCCCATGAGAATCATAGGAATGATCTAGAGAACATCAGAGGCGCATGGAGTGAGTACTCGTGTAAGCTTTCATACTGTGGAATGCAGCCTTTCTTACTGGCTTTGAAGGGGGTGTGTCTCCAGATTGATGACTTCCTTAACTCTGTGTTTTGGTGAGACAACAAGGAGAAAAGGAAGACAGGCAGGACCTCCTTTGGAGCCCCAGTGAGAACGGTTTCCAGGTGTCAGACACAGTAAAACATATTGAACAGTTCATAAATGAGTTACAGCCCTTTGGGGGATTTCTGTGGCATACTGGCAAATATCACCTGCCTACTCCTTTCTTCCCCAGCCCTGGGTCCTTGCAATACACCAGCATCTCTGCTTGGGGCTTCCTGTCCAGAGCCAAGAGAGTCACAAACCACCTTGCTACTTCGTGGCCTGGCTGTTAAGAAGCCTGTAAGCTACAGGGGAAAATGGATCTTCAGGGGATCTCTGTGCTTGTCTGTCCTGTTCCTAGGAGCATACCAATATAGCTGTCCAAGGGAGGAGTAGGCCCCAGGGATGGTGGCATATGACAGACGTGTGTCTCTAAGGAGGAGAAGGATTCCATGTCCTCTGTTCTGCTGTCACTCATTCTTTGTGTATTTCTTTATCCATTGTGTCTGTGAATGAAGTTTACCTGTAGAATTAAGTCATCTAATAGCTTGGTTTTTTCCTTTAACTCACTGAATTCATTGGACTTTAAAGACCAACTCAGACCATTGGGCATTCTCAATCTGGGCATAACTTGATGCCCAGAGAATATTTGTGAAGGTCTTGAAGACACCTAGGATTGTCTCATGCATGGGGACCAGTTTATCCCCTAACAGTGAGGATAGCATTCATTAATACATAAGCACCCAGTCCATTACAAGCTCCAGGCCAATGAGAGATCTTGTCTTAGAAAAAAGAAAAGCAGCACCCAGGGAACCATATCTGAGGTTTACCCATGGCTTTTACGTGGGAAATAATTATTTCTCATGATAGAAAAAAAAATTATCCCCCCCCAAGGTGCCAGTAGGATCAAAGTTGAAAGGCATTGTGTCATCAGTACTATTAGTGACATCACAACTTTGAAGAACTATACTTGTGTATATATAGGTATGTATATGTATATACACACATACACATATCTATACATATATTTGCATAGCATTGAGTAAACTCTAAATGAAATAAACATAAAAGATTCCTTTGGGTATCCTCCCAAACCATGTATGTAAATTCTCAGATGTTATGTGTAACACTTTGGGAAGTGTCTGCCTCCCTGTCTACCCCTGGGTCATAAGATAATTCCAGGATATGTTGTTAGGCAGACTGTAGGGTAATGACTCTTCACTCCTTGCTCAACCCTTCCCCAGAAGGCAATGTGTTCTGCTCAGGAAAGCTATGGGCAAGCAGTCCTTCTCCAGAGCACCAGAAGCCTGGTTCTCCCCTGCGTTTGGCCTTCCCATGTCCTTTGCTCTGGACTTCATCCAGTCAGCTCTTCAGAACTTCTTTGGGAAGACCAGGAAGATGCCACACCTTTGGAAAGCATGTCACGAGGAGGCAGCACCCCTACAAAGTGGCCACTCTTAAGGTTGTGTGAACTCCAGGGACCTAAGCCTCAGAGTGGTGGTGCCAAGCACACTTTAAGCATCAATACCTTGGGGAGGGATCCGATGAGTCTTCCTTAATACTCTTATCAACTTTGTCTGGTTCACTGTCTTTAGGGTAGTAGAAGAAACTGTAGGATATTGTTGTCTTCATGACTACAGCCGTTCAGGTTGGAGAGGCATTGTAGGGCGAGATATGTCAGTTTGGTAAAGGGCTTGGTCCAGAATTCGCATTTACAAAATGAAGCTGCATATTGTGGATATTGTGGTGCTCCTCTAATCCCAAAACTTGGAAGACATAGACAGGTGGGTCCCTGGGGCTCACTGGCCAGCCAGCATATACTACTCCCTGAGCTCTAGGCTAATGGGAGACTCTCAAGTTGACCTCTGGCTTCTACAGACACAGACAGATGGATGGATGAACCGATAGACAGACAAACAAGACAGACAAAACACACACATGCACAGTATTAGAATACAATCAAAGTATGATCTTTTTTGTCTAAAGGAAATAACCATATATATATGACTTGTTGCTGGATTCATTCTGTCACACGATACACAATGAGATCCTGCCCAGCTGCCCTCCATGCAGTAAGGCAGGCAAGAAGGGTACGCTAGGTTTTCTGGCAGAAAGTAGTGTCCTAAATGTAGCATAAGCAAGACAGTAGGTGTGAAGACCTTGGGAGAGCTTACCCTGCAGAAGCGGTATTCATATAAATTCTAAGCCCTGGCTAGGTTCCCTCTTCCTCCCACAGTGCCCTTTCTGCTCCCAGTGGCTTTGCCTGCTGTGTATTAGAGTCCAAGACTCTACTTGGATTGTGTGTTGTATTTCACCATGTCCTTACATCACACATGTGCAATATGGCTTTGCTGACAGTCCAGGTTTCACAGGATCCAAGGCCACCAAGATACCCATTTCCTTCCTGAATCCCACTGACTCTGATAATGACTACAGGAGCCCTTTACCCTTGGCCTAGTATACCTGCCTGACACAGGTTTGTGGAACTGAGGGAATTGTATCAACTGGGTCACTGAGAGTTCTCATGCCCTCTGCCATCAGCATGGTGGAACTTTTCATTTTCTGGCAGCAGCAAGACTCTCTGCTTAATGGTCAGATTATTACCATGAAGGAGTGAGCAATGTCCAAATCCCTAGTTTCAGATTTCTCTGTAACACTGGGGTCCTGTGGACGTCTCCAGTAATTGCTGCAGGGCAGTGGTGACCACTGATCTGGTCTTTGGATGGAAGTACCTGGGAACCTGATGTCTTAGAAATGAAAGAGTAGAACAGGAAAAGTCTGAAAGGACTTTACATTTGGTTAGTGGCCTAGAATCATTACTGTCACTCATATTACTGTAGTCACACTGTATTAGACTCAGTGTCCAGACTTAAGGGTCTTAAAAGTCAAATAATTTACCCAAGGCCACATAGAAGACATAACCATGGTGGGTGCCAGGCTCAAGGTCATATGACATTAGAATCTTTCTTGCAGCCTCTGTTTCATTAGGGTTAGAGAGTAAAAAATGCTGCCATCAGTAGAAAGATTTGCCAATGCTTAGACAAAGCCTGACGTACCAGATTTGGTATTTATAAACTTCCATCTGTGGATAGGCTCAGAAGTGGGTGAATGGGTGAATAGGTGGATACATAGATGGGAGCCAGATATTAATGATAGATAGCAGGAAGATAGATAGTGTCTTAATTACTATGCTGTGCTGTGAATAGATACAGTGACTAAGGCAACTATGGAACAGTGGATGTCAACCTTCCTAATGCTGCAACTCTTTAGTACAGCTCTACATATTGTGGTGACCCCCAACCATAAAATTATTTTATTGCTACTTCATAACTGTATTTCTGCTACCGTTATAGATTGTAGTGTAAGTATCAGATATGCAGGATATCTGATATGCCGTCCCCCAAAGGGGTTGTGCCCCACAAGTCGAGAACTCCTGTTATAGAAGAGAGTTTATTTGGTGCTTACAGATTTAGAGAATGAGTTCATTACCATCATGGAGTAGAGCATCGCAGCAGGCAGGCAGACATGATGCTCGAGCAGTAGCCGAGAGCTTACTTCTTGATCTATAAGCAGGAGGCACACTGGAAATGGCATAGGCTTTTGAAACCTTAAAGCCTGCCCCCAGTGATACACTTCTTCCAACAGGCCACACTTCCTCATTGTTCCTGAACAGTTCCACCTACCGAGGACTAAGTATTCAAACATAGGAGCCTATGAATGCCTTTATTCTTCAAATTACCACAGAGATAGATAGAAAGATGATAGATAGATAGATAGATAGATAGATAGATAGATAGATAGATGATGGATAGATAGATAGATGATAGATGCATAAGTAGACAGAAGATGCATAGGTGACTGGATAGATAAGCAGAGGGACTGCTTTGCACACGTATCCACAGCTGTACTCAGATATGTGGGTAGAGGTAATGGTGGACAGATACTGAATGGATCTAGGTAGATAGATGCATAGATACCTAAAAACACATAGATGCCTGGATGGTGGATACATAGACAGACAGATAGACGGACTGCTTTATTTGAAAAGTCTATTTATTTATTTATTTATTTATTTATTTATTTATTGTCCTACAGGCTGGCATAAGGCCTGTGAGTAAATACCATAGACTACAGAGCCAATCGGGGGAAAAAATCATTTCAGAACAACAAAAAGTAGACTGTCTCCCTGAGCATCAATAATATTGTGATAAATCTGAATGCGTATTTGATTCTTTTTCATTGATCCTCAAGGGGGACTATCATTTCTGAACCCACTCCAA